GAACCGCAAAAAGAGCCTTTATTGAATAAACAGGCCTGAAAGCATTCATAAACTTACTGATACAATATATATGACCTTTTCTGAAAGGAATGAGACAACATCTGCTATTGTACAATAAACTGGAGTATGAGAAATACTGAATTATTATAAAAGAAACCCACACCCACTCTTCAATCCCTCTCTCATCAAATCTGGAGAGATGGAAGAGTGAGGAAAATAGAATGGAAATTTTAAAGATTTTGATTTATTATCTGAACAGGACTTAAGACTGCTGTAGCTCTGTAGCTATTTACATCTTTAAAGTATACAGTACAGGATACTATTTCATCATGAGAAATGTGAGCATTAGTTTTTGCAACGTGCTAAACACTGCTGATTATATTTTCAGTTTATGTAGATCAAGATATACGTTTGCATTCATAGGAAAACTTAATCCTTCACAATACTGTAATGGACTACCTCTGTTGCTGTGTGTTTTAATTAGTACTTATCCTACATTTTTGCAAACCTGTTCATGATGAAGTCTGAAGTTCCTGAAGGAGCTTTAATTATGGCATGTGTCCAAATATGTCCTCACTATGCACAATAGATCTTGAAAACCCACGCAAGCTTGCAAAGTCCTTGCTACCAAAATCCCCCCCGATCAAAACCAAAACCTACCCATAGCCAATTTAAATTCCTCTTTCCTTTACATGATTAAGTTGAAACACTGAATTTTCTAAAGTCTGTCAAGCTAGAGTTAACCTTTCCGCTTCTTTTACTACTTCCAACCATTGTATTTTCATAACTGAAGAGCACAAGTCATGCAATATCACCTCTCTTCAGGTCTATGTGGCCATGCAACATTCAGACACAAAGCTAAGGACATTATGACAAACGTAACCTATGTTCCGCTGTGCAGCTACCTGTATGTTCAATACAAATTTTAATATTAAACTACTCAAAAATCTTTGACTTAAAATGTTGTCATTTAACATTCTAGGTTGTTCAGTTTAAGTGTAATTAAAGCCTTTCCTATGGTCAGAGCCTTGCTTGCTGATGCCAAGAACAGTTCTCACTTACTAGGAATGTTTCCTTCTAAGCACATTCCCTTGAGTAAGGGAGCAAACGACACAATTACACAATTGCTAACTTCTATAAATAAAGTAACAATTTAGGATACCTAGTTTTACCCCTCTCCATCTGCTTTTTCAGCCTTTTCCTAAGTGGAACGAGGAAAAAACATGTATGTGTAAACACACACACACACACACTGCACACAATTCAGTTCGGTTCATCAAGCCTGATTTACTTTTCTCGGCATTTGATTTTTATAGCATGAGTATCTCTTAAACTTGAGTGCTTTTGTGAGAAACTGAAATAAACGTGTATGATTAATTTCAAAGTTTATTTTAACTGGATTTGCTGCATCTGTGACTCAAAATGAACAGCTTAAACATTAACTTATGACTGTGCACTACAGCTAAAGCTAAGGACATTGGACCAAATACCACTCCACCTTCTCAGAGCACATACTCAAAACTTAAATCTTAAAAGTAGCTAAACCAACACTGATTTCCAAAAGGTTAGTGATTAACTCAAAAGACTGCCAGATTACAACAAAAGATTGTCAAAGTTGAACACAGTGGAATTCAGCAGTTCAGATTCTCAAATAGGTCTGTAAAATAAGTATTAGAAAAATGGCATTTCAGTAACTCCCAGGTTATAACCTGACATACCGTCATCACTGTTCAATTGCCTTCTAGCCTCCAGAAAGCAGAAGGACATACAGGTGGAGAATTCTTCCTCTACACTTCATAACAACCCACAAAACACAGTTAGGCTCAGAAGAGCCGCTACTGACTCGAGAAAAAAAAACTGGAATGCTCTTGCTCTCCACCTTTTCAAGAACAGTGAAGAAAGAGGGTGATGGCAGTTTTAATTGGCACTAATTGAAAAGTGAAACCTCAACTTTCAGCTGCACTTTTGGTACATCTTCTAAGTGATGCTGCAGCTAAGCCTAGTGGTCAACTGTCACTATGTGGCTAGCCCTCATCGCTGTGACTGCTGAATCACGTTCGACTTGTCCACCAGGACCCCTAGGGCCTTCCCTGGGAAGCTGCTCCTCCATCATTCATTCTCCAGCCTACACTGTCACTTGGGACTATGCAATCTCAAGTGCAAGACTTCGTTTCCCTTCGCTGAGCTTCATGAGGTTTCTATCAGCTCGTTCCTCCAGGTTGCCAAGCCTCTCCGAGTGGTGGCCCAACACTCCACCACGTTAACTGCTCTCTCCAGTCTGGTATCCTTCATAAACTTGGCAAGGTAGCGTTCTGCCTTACCATCCAGGTTGCTAAGGAAGATGCTAAACAGCGTTAGCCTGAGGACTGACCCCTGAGGAACGCTACTTGAAAGTCTCATTGGCAGCTGGTTACAAGTACTGAGCGCTAGCTTTGAGCCCAGCAGACGAGCCAGGTTTTAACCCACTTTGTAGTCCGCCTATCCAGGCTGCATCTCTCCAGTGTGGTTATGCAGATGCTATCCTGACAGGATGATGACTGGATTTGGTAATGAAGTATTTTGGTATTTTTATAGACACTTGGGCTAGGAAATAAAATAATATGTATTATAATGACAAGAATTAAAAGATAAGGGCTTGTAATTTGCTTCCTCTTCTTATAAAGATTATGGCTATAGAAAAACAACTTTAGTAAGTTACATAAAGAGTATTTTCTCAGAGGCCCAAAGACTTGGAGGGGGAGGGGGAGATTTAATAAATAAAAGACCAATATTTAAAAGCCTAGTACTTCCAGGTTGCGTACTACAAATAGTTGGAATATATGCATCTCAGAAAGCCTAAGTCCTTGTGTCCCATTCAGGGTGTTAATAGTAACAGAAAAAGATCTCATAGCAGTAAGTTCATTCCCCCATTACACTAAGTCCATAGCACGTTAACGTGTCTACGAAACACTGATACCCTATCTAGGCTGAAGCAATCAGTTATTTTGATGAAATCACCTACTACACCTACTACGAGACTTTGGCAGGGTACATCACATTAAGGACTGCTTCATGCTTGCACTGTTTCCTATATTATCTCCTGTTACACTGGCAACTTGCTGTTCCTGCTCTTAGGCAGAGTCTATAACACTTACCTTGGGTCAGAGGGAGAGCTATACAATTCCTCTGAAATACCTTAAAGTCTCTGACACAGTCCGCTTAGAAAGGTTATTACTTTCCCTCAAAGAGGAAATGACCAGGTAAGTGTTGTATTGACTGTACCTATCCTTTATAACTATACAAAGAGGTCTGAGTGGAGTGTGCTCCTTCCTATTTATTTTATAAATCATTAATACTTCATCCACAACAACTTGATACATATGGCTTATAGAGAATTCCAGTAGCCATATTCTGCCAATTTCCTAAAACATGTTCCCAAAAAACAGATGGAGAAGATCTGAAATGAATAGTGGATTAAAGTCACCCATGCCAAGACACTATCTTTTACTATGACAGGGTCAAAGATCATTTCTGATACTATAAAGTTAGCTGTTCAAACTTGGTTTGTTGTTTTGGTTAACAGAGCCTTATTTTCAGCTACTGTTATCTATATATAGATGATTAGGGCTACAGATCTGTATTCTGGAAATGAATACCATTTTTGTAGACACAATTAAACTAGAATTCAATATATTTGAATAGGAAGAATTAAAAGATGAGAGCCTGAGTTTTAACGTAACTTCTCTAGCTCTCCTTTAATCAAAGCTATATTTGAAAAAGCATAGTTCTGCTCAGGAGAAACTTCGTTTTGACTAACCAAAGCCCTAGCAAAAACCTGTCTTATGTGGAGAAGGGGCATCAGTGACGTTAAGTGCAGAAAAGAAACCTTGAGACGACTTTCTTCATGTACAAAAACGGATTCCTTTAAATTTTTAAGGTGTTTCATATATTTGCCCTTTAAAAATAGTAGGGTCTACACAGCATGGCAACAACGGCATTCTATCTTAATTGACTTATCGAAGATTATCTGTAGGTCTCTGGACTAGAAGTCCTGCTACAATCATTTGCAGTCAGCCCATGAGTTTCCTTCCACGGTCATGCCTGATGATTTCCCATCAACCTTAACAAATAAATAAATATTAATGAAACCAAACATTGCCATATCTTACGCCCCTTCTTTGGCTACAGTAGGTCTAGCCTGTCTTTGTTCCCAGGTGTGATATGAAGTACTGAGCTATATTATTCTAGAAATAAAGATCACCTCACTCATTTGACCAGAATGCTATTTTTTTGGAATGTGGAAGAATAAGCAGTATTTTCATTATTCAGTGTTCACAAACAAAACAGTACAGAACGTTGGTTTTATATTTTAACAGCTAGAACAGTATCCTACTCACATCTGCATTAGGCCAGAGCTCTTTTATAACATTTTCTATCCTGTTCACCACTTCCATCCGCATTCTCTCTTCTTCAGGTCTGGGAGACATATACTTATAAAAGTCAATGATTTCTTCATGGAGACTAAGAAAAAAAAAAATAATAATCAGGAGGGGAAAAAATCATACAGACAATGAAATAGGAGCTATTGTGTCAAACACCCTTTTTAGGCTCCTAGTTAATTATTCAGTTAAGGGACAGTTTAAGAGTAGCATGCAATTAAAAAAAAAAAAAATCCAGATTCGCACTTAGTAAGGTTTAATTTCAGATTAGTTTATGCTAAATTGTGTCATAGTTCAATACTCTACTGCATTTGCTAAAAAAACGGGGAAGCAAAACCAAATCCAAGTAACTTCAATTCACAGCATAAGTCACACAATATATATTAATGTCAGCATTGTACATAAGTGTTTCAATCTTCTACCACGAACGTAGCTGTAAGCTCAAAGTACACATTAGTGACAAGTTTAAACAGAAGGTTTTCAGCCAACACTTTAGTCAGCCCTTTGGCATCAGTTAGGTAGTTTCAGGCGTCGCTCTACGTTCAGTTATCAGGCTTTTGAAAAAGGCGTTAGTAATTGTGCCAGTACTAGAGCTAGAACTGCTTCTTTCATTGTTTTAGAGACAACATAAACTAAATACGCATCCTCTCCCTGTAACAAGAAAATACATAATACATAAACAGCAGTGGCTTAAAAGAATATGTGATTGACAGACAGTTGATCAGTACATTTGAGAGATGTGAGTTTACCATATCATATGTGCTTCTCAGAGTCAGTAAGCTATGTTTGGATTGCCTATGATTATAGTTTAAGTAAAAACATCCTCATATACTGCCACAAATCTCTATGCTTCTGTAATATCATAAACACATCATCATCTTAACTATTAAAAAAAAAAAAAAACAAATTCAGATTCAATCCTTTAATTCCTGCAAAATTAAGTGGAACTCTGGCACAGAGTAGCTAATTTTTTTTTTTTTTTTTTGCAATGATCATCTCAGTAATAGGTAGTTATTTTCAACAAAAAGGTATTGTTTTCAGTTAACAAGTACAAACATATCTTGCCTTAAAGCTCCAAGGAACCATCAAAAGAGAGCAATTTATTAAGAGTAAATCCTTAGATGAGATGTGCAATCTAATACTTTCCCATTGCACAGACATTTATTTAAATTAGCTGCTAATAACTGGAAGCCATATACAGGTATCAAAACACATTAAAATATATGAAAGTTATGTTTAACAAGAGAGCAGACAGAGCTCAAGCCATCTGCATTATGTTCGTCAGTACCGCAGCGTTATGAACAACAAACTTCCTTCCCTAAGGGACTGAAGAATAAAATATTTACATGACCTATAACTGAGCATTTATTGGAATTCAATCCTCCACCCCCTGCTTTAGAGGAACAGGGATAAAAGCCGCCCAGCCGGAGGCGGCAGTGCCTGCTGGCTCTGGGCAGCTGCTGCAAAGAGAGCAGTGCCTCGGAGGGGTCCCTCCACGGGCAGGGCCGGGCAGATGCCCATCTAGCTGTGCTAAAATCAACCCTTAGAGAACCTTTTCCTCCTCTGACGTTTAGAGAGGGATCCTCAAAGGCTTAAAAAAGAAGCCAAAAAACACAAACAAAAATACCTCTCTACACGCACCCAAAAATGCAAAACGACCCCTTTCCTCCCATCCCTCCGCGCCACTGCCGTACGCCGGCACAAACTGTGTTCACACACACACTGTTCTCAGGTATGTCAAAGGATGTCTTCCACAATGCAGCTGTAGTATTCATACAGATAAATGCCCTTTAAGCCGTTTCAGCATTTATCTGTATGTTGTAGGAAATGTCTTACCTCCTCCTACTGCTGCTTTCTTGCTCATCTTTAAAGTTTACAACTTGGGGTTAACATATACATTCCAAAATACTACTACCATCCTTTATACAGGCATCAACTTCTTAACTTCTGGCTTTTCAGTGATCTCCTGTTCTTCAACTAGTACTTTTCCTTAGCAATCCCACTGCAGTTTAACACGTTGGTACTTTAACTGAGACAACGTTCTTTATCGCTATCCTCCTTTTGCAGAAATTTAATTCAGATAAGAAGAATGTGACAAAGGTCAAGCTGAGCACTCCAACAACTAAGTTCCCTTCCCTGTCCCCACTGCCAGTCACACATACTGAATGGCTAATTTAGTCTCTGCCTGCTTGACCATTAAGGTAACATTAAAAAAGGAGCAGCAACAAGAAGAGGAAGACAGGCTTAAAACAAACAAACAAACAAACAAACAAAACCACACACATCCTAGACAACTTTTTTTTTCTTTTTTCTTTTTTTAGTAATTTAGTCAACCAGCCTACAGACCAGAAGACTTGGGGGGCAACCCAAGTCTTCCTATAATGCCTTGCAAGTTCTGCACTTCCTTTGCAGACTACGCTGGGCAGATTTACCCAAACAACAGCATAAGTTATGCCTGTGCTTCTCTGGGCCTGCTGGAACAGACTGGTTACACTCACAGTGCAGATGATGTGGCCCAGATCTCCTTTTAGCTTTAGACTCAAGAGTCAAATGGATGCCTTAACTTACTCTACATGGGGCGGTAAGGAGGCTGGTTCTTTCTGCCCAAAACAAAGAAAGATGAGACCAGAGCAGCACTTTTCATAACGTAAAAATGAGTGCCTGCATCGTGTGCCATGAAAAGCGGCACAAAGTTATCCAGGGATACGGCATGGCACAAGACCTGCCAGGATAATACCGAGGGACTATCCTTGGGGAGAAACTCATCTATGGCAGGGTACCAATCCATACTGCTGCCAGGAGTAGACCCAGTAGTTACTGCTCCTGGGCTTCCTCCCGGAGGGAGATAATAAAAGACAACCAGAAATCAGGTCCCCGAAGCGAACAAAGGACCAAAAGATATAGACAGTGCAGTTCCCTGCGCATGATTCCCTCTATTAACTCAGTTACCTGACAATCATATTTGAGATTATCTTATTATATCAATTGGTGTATTCCTTAGAACCATATACAATAACAGTGTGCTGTTTGAACCAGAGATCATTATTTTTCTAATGCATCCATTATGTAGGTCTACATCTCTTTAAATAGGAACATTCTTATTCTTTGATAGCAGTGTAAAGTCTTCTGGCACACACAAGAAGTTTAGTATGCAAACACAGAAACTTACATTACAGATGCACTGAACTTCACTAAACTATGTGGATATAAACGAAATGAAATTTAAACTTTATATTTCATCTGCTCCAATAATCTATACAGTGAAGATCACCTGTGCTGTACATAAGCACTGTATTCAAAAGGCAGACAGAAGTTGTAAAGGCTAAAGACTACACCTGTAACTGTATTTCCCTGCCCAATAACGACTGCTGCCAAGAAGTAAGAGAACGATTAATTAAAAAGCCAAGACAAACGTATGTAGCTACATGCAGATTTCACAGAAATACAACATGACTTAGTAGCGTGACTCCAATTAACGTGGAGTTAACTTGAGTTGTATTGAAAATTAAAACTCAAGGTTATTCACTGCCTTAATCAACATCTACTATAGTAGCTGTTTTTCAAAACAATTTGTTCGGATTAACGGAGTCTGTTTGCAAGAGTCTCTGGTGGAATTCTATATCTTTAGCTGAAATGAAGATCAAAGAGACCTAGAAGTTATTTCTGGCATCATAACACTATTTTATTATTTAATGCCACTACAATCATTAGTTATTTCAGATAAAAGTATTTTTAAAGGAGACTTGGTTTTGGAAGGAAATTACACTGTAATAAAGCTGACTTCACTATTGAAGGATATTTTATTTGTCTTTACAATCATATCGAAGCTACTGATGCTATTCACATATAACCAAAGTCTACTTACGAAGCTTGAGAATTCTCTGCAATGCGTAACAGCATTAGTTACTGTGTTTATTACAGTAAATAGCAGTAAACAAATGGGTCTTTGTCCTGTATTTCTGGGAATCGTAACACATGAAAATCTCTGACATTTGCTCTGAGTATGTTTTAAAACAGAGTGGTAGCTGCATAATTGCCTACCATAAGGTAAGAACAGCATGTTTTCAAGCCTTGCAAACCGAAGTTCCACGTTCATTAGAAAACACAATCTAAGTTCGATATACAGAACAGAAATAAGTTTATAGAAAACAGAAACCACTACATTTAGAGGATCATTGTGCCTGTTATATTTACCTGACATAGATAATGAAGTATCATTAAAAAAAATAACGATGTTCCACAAAGCTGTATTTGTAGCACGAGGGACTTCCCAGCCTAACACCCCTGAATCGCACGACCAGCAAGCAGAAGCCCCAGAAGAGCAATCTGCCAGATTCAAGCCATTCTGGTCAAAAGCCTCAACTTTTGTGCCAGTGCAGGTACTACAGAACAATACACATTACACTTCTCACTTACTTTGATCACACCTTGCTTTATTTCGTAACACCACTTGTGTGCTCTACATTGTGCAACTCGGGTTTCTCAAACTAGTTTACCTATGTCCAAGATACTGCTGTTCTGGAGGATGAATCTTACTGCACCTCTGGCAATCAAGTTAAAAATAACCACATACAAAATGTCATTCTTGTTTCATATGCACACACATAGGGATAGGTAGATACACGGACAATCACATACACACTCGACAGTACACTTCTGTTACCTGAAACATAAAGCAGCATAACTCTTTATTTCTGTAAACTCAGAACCGGAACCAAAAGAATGACTTTGGAAACCATACTGTTCCATGGAAAGTCACTGAAGATATGGAAAGCTGCATGCCTCCGCACCAGGATCCTGAGGCAGACTGAACCATCAGCCTACTGTGCACACAAGATTTAGGCAGCTTAGCAGAAGCCAGCCAGACAACAATCGACGTTCAGTGTTCGCCTAGCCACGCCAGTGGCTGCCCACAAGTTTGAACATATTTTAAAATCTTCCTTTCCTGTTCCGAGCAGCGTGGATTAGTTTTGCCAAGCATAACAGACAGGGAGATAAAGATGATTCTGACTCGTTATCACCACAGGTGTTTACAGAACAGCAGGAACTCTTGCCCCTGCATGCTAATACACAGTAT